GAGGGCGGGAGGGGGGAAGGAGAGCACCCCTCAAAGATGGGGGTGCGAGGGTCACCACGAGAAGCTCCTACAGCGACGATGCTCTTCTCCGCCGCGAGGAGGGCCTTCTCGAGGACGTCGGCGGTGAGGGTGGTGGGACAGACTGCGAGAAAGTGGTCCCTGACTACGCGAAGGGAGTCAGGGAGGCGCGCGACTACGTAGTAGAGAGTGATGTACATGGGGGGGGGGGTTCTTAGCGCAGAACTCAGCAGGAAGGGCGGCGCGGTAGCGAGTGTCACTAGTGCGGAGGTGCGTAATGAGGTCAGCAACAGTGGGAAAGGCAGAGAGGTCAGGAAAGAGGTAGGGAAGCATGAGACGGCTTAGTGCAGCAGTGGCAGGGGAGGAGTAGCGCGCAACTACAGCGTCGTACAAGGTCTGAGCACTCTTGTACTCACTAAAGTGCGCGCGCTCAGAGGTAGGGAGGTGGCGACGCACAGCAAGACGTGCAGCAGCATCGCGGGTGGCCCACTGAGAGCGCACAGTGGGATCAGCATCAGCAGCAGGGGCAGGAGAGGCGCCAGAAGTGAGGTCAAAGAGAGAGAGGCCGTCTGCCCTATCGCACTGTAAAAACAACTGCAGGTCGTCTACCCAGACCTCAAAGTCAATGGCGCGACCCTCAGCGTCAAAAGCTAGGACACTAGGGGTAGCCATGACGACGACAGCGAAGCAGTGCAAGCTGTAGGAAAAGAGCACGCAGTGACAGCGGTACTGTGCTCACCGGGCAGGGCAGGTCGGGCAGCTCTGCAGAAGGGCGGCTCGGCGACTCGGCTACTGGGCGGCTCGGCTCCCGGGCGGCTAGGCGACAGAGCGGCTCGGGTGCAGGGCGGCTCGGGTGCACTGCTGCTCGGTGGTCCGGCGGCTCGGCTGCTGCAGGTGAGTGGCTTGGCTGCTGCAGGTGGGCGGCTCGGCTGCTGCAGTTGGGCGGCTCGGCTGCTGCAAGCGGGCGGCTCGGCTGCCGCAGTTGGGCGGCTCGAGAGGAAGGGGCGGCGGGGCCGGGTTGCAGGGACGGCGAAGGGCCGCAGTAGAGGCGGCCGTAGAGCCGCAGGTAGGAGGCGGCGGGGCCGCGCAAGGGCGGGTTGGCCGCGAGTGACGGCGGCGGGGCCGCGTCGGAACGGGCGGCAGGGCCGCGTCTGAGCAGGCGGCAGGGCCGCGTCGGAGGGGAGGGCGGCGGGGCCGCGGCTCAGCAGGCGGCAGGGCCGCGGCAGAGCAGGCGGCTGGGCTGCGCCTGAGTGGGCGACGAGGCCGTGGCTGAGGAGGCGGCGGGGTCGCGTCAGAGGAGGCGGCGGGGCCGCTTCGTAGCGGGCGGCGGGGCCGCGGCTGAGCAAGCGGCGGGGCCGCGTCCGAGTGGGCGGCGGGGCCGCGTCTAAGCCAGCAGCGGGGCCGCGGCTGAGCAGGCGGCGGGGCCCCGTCTGAGCAGGCTGCGGGGCCGCGTCTGAGCAGGCAGCGGGGCCGCGTCGGAGCGGGCGGCAGGGCCGCGTCTGAAGGGGCGGGCGGGGCCGCGTCCGAAGTGGGCGGCGGGGCCGCGTCTGAAATGGCGGCGGGGCCGCGTTCGAAAGGGGCGGCGGGGCCGCGTCTGAGAGGGCAGCGGGGCCGCGAGGGAAGGGCGACACGGAGGGTCGCTCAAGAGAGAGGAAAAAAAAAGGTTAGCGCGCCTCGGGGCGCGCTTCGGTGGGCCCTAGGCGAAGTTCCCACAGGGAACCCGCTCTATACCATGTGAGAATACTAGAACAGGAATGAAATGACTAAGTGAAAGTTGGGTACAAATACAAACCCTAGAGAGCTGTACCCCATATGTGCTACCCCACTATAGCCTACAACAGCTATGTCATATATATCTGACAGGAAGTAGAAGTGCAACACCTAGACTAACCTAAACAACATATATAAAATATATGTTGACAGGTGCTGTTGCGACCGCAGCAAGAGAGGGTAGAGGAGTTACAACCGCAACAGCAGGTTCAGTTGCAGCCACACTAGGAGAGAAAAGAGGAGTCCCGGCCGCAGCAGCAGATGCAATTACGACCGCAGCAGGAGAGGGTAGATGAGTTACGACCGCAGCAGCAGGTGCAGTTGTAGCCACACCAAGAGAGAGTAGAGGAGGAGTTACGGCCACGGCAGCAGGTGCAGCTGCATCCGCAGTAGGAGAGGGTAGAGGAGGAGTCACGGTCGCAGCAGCAGGTGCAGTTGCAGCCACCGCAGGAAAGAGTAGAGGAGGAGCCACACTCCGAATAGGTGGAGCAGCAGCAGGGGCAGGCGCCGCCGCAGCAGACGTCGGAGGAGTCGGAGCAGAAGCGATTGAGAGACATGCCCGACCTGGCACCTGCACGCCTGCTCCATGGTCCTCTACCGTCCCATCTTGTTCCCCCTATCGAGTCCCTTGCCTATTAAGCGGAAAATGGGTCTTCATAATCAAGACAATCGCGGACGGGTCGATCAACAAATACAAGGTGAGATGGGTGGTAGGCGGCTTCGAGCGAACTCACCTGGTGGATTACGGCCAGACCTTCGTGCACGTCGGACGGCACACCTCTGAATGCATCTCATCTGCATCGCAGCTGTCAAGCAGCAGCGCTACGATAGAGGGACGTCTCAAACGCGTTCCTCTACGCAATCATCAACGCCATCATTTTTGTCGAGCAGCCCGCACGCATTCTAAGAAAGCGACGGTGCCATCTGCCTCCTCCAAAAGTCTCTCTACGGCATCAAGCAAGCGCCTCGCCTGTAGCAGCAGTACCTGCACACCGTTCTTATCGAACTCGGCTTTGCCTAGCTGCCGCACGACCAAGGCATCTACCGGGTGGAATCACGTGGGAAGTTCATTCTCCTCGCCACCTACTTTGACGACCTGCTCTACACCAGGACGACACGAAACCGCTCGATCGCTTCGAAGCAAATGTCAAGGGGAAGCTAGAAGTGACGACCATATACAATGTCACGCAATTCCTGGGTCTCAACATCACCCATTCCGCCACCTCCATCCACATCTCCGCTGCCAAGTACACGGAAACACTCGAAAAAAAATTGCGATTGCCCCGATCAACCTAACTACCCCATTCCGCACTCCTCCTCCTAATCACAATTTCGACACCACACCGCTCTTCATTCATGATCATCGGCTCTATCAGCAGCAGCAGGGGTGTCTCCTGTTTGCCGCCGTCATCTCTCCTATGTCGCAAGCCAACTCGCACAGTACCTGCGCCGACCTGAAGAGGAGAATATGCTAGACCTACGCCGAGCACTTCAATAAATCATCTCTACTCCTGACGTCGGGCTCACCTACGCGGCTAACTTAACAACTACCCTACAGCTTCACGGCTACGTAGACGCGGACGATGCGGGAGATGTTGAAGACGCTCCCGCACAGGCTTCATTTTTCATCTCCATCCTGTTGGACTCATCTCTTGGAGCTCCTAGAAGCAGGAGCTTATCGCTCGTTCGTCAGCCGTAGCTGAGTTCATCGCCACCAGCGCAAGATGTTCGCCAAGGACTGTATCTAATGGAGCTCCTGCAGGAAGCGAAAGTGTCGATGAACGGGCATTTCATGTTACTCTTCGACAATCAGAGCGCGATAAAAACTGCGAACAAGCCCGGCTTCGTAAACCGCACGAATCATATCGCACCCCGTTACTATTCGTTTAGGACGAGATCGACAAGGGCAAAGTCAAACTCGCATATTGCCCAACTGGTGACATGGCAGCAGATCTCTTCACTAAAAAGCTGCCTAGTCTGCGCCGACCTCTGCGAGATCTCGAAGAAATCTCACATGGCTCACATTCAGGAATGAAGGGGAGTGTTGGAGTAACCGATGGTTACTATAACATTCTCGAAGGCTTCCCTTAGCGTATCGCTTCATAACGAGACAACACTCCTGTACTAGTATTGCGTTAGGCTCATATAGAGCATGTGGCATCCTCAAAGCCACTCAAAGGCCAACAGTCGCAGGAAGTGAACGGTCGCGACTGTTGACTGCCCGGTAACCGTACTCGAAGGTTATACGATGCAACTTGGTAACTGTCGAGTAGAGCAATAGTCGCGGTTACTGTAGCAATGCAATACAGTTAATAAGGGAATGAACTACTTACGGTACATGGATTGCTATATATATCCTTGTAGTCCTATCCTGAATCATCTTGTTCTCTTTCAACTATTATTAACAAGGCCATTACAAGACTCTACAGTCTTCTCACACCTTGGCTAGACTTATCCAATCCACTACGATTCCCGGTTATATCAAAAGTTTCGACTCGATTCAAATCGCAATAACGAGATGTACATGTTGGTGCAAAAAAAAATACAGATCTATATATGTCATCGTATAAATGCCGACGCTTATAAACATACTCGATTATAAGCGCACCCCCTAAAGTAACGGTGTTTTTTTATAACCACAGGGGCCAGTATATCTGGGGGGTGGCGGTAATAATATTTTTTTCCTGTTCTCTGTGGTAAGGCGAGTCTAATGACGGGGGGAAATGTATGAAGCAAGGAAAACAGGAATGAAATGACTAAGTCAGAGTTGGGTACAAATACAACCCTAGAAAGCTGTACCCCATATGTGCTACCCCACTATAGCCTACAAACATGCATCAGTTATAATAATCCGACACACCCCCATAGGCAAAGTGGGGGAGAACAAGGGGTCACAAGACCAGTCAAGCAAAGCAAAGCAAAGCAAGCTCAGGGTGGATCACAACGTCACCACACAGTCCGAGCACAAGAGCAGGGCCAGAGGCCAGTTCACATGCAGGAGTACAGACATATATATAAAACTAGACAAGCAAGAGCAGGTATATATATATGTCACAGTACAAGTGAAGTCAAGAGGAGAGCAAGTGAGGCAAGACAGGCACAAGACCCAGCTGGGTGCAAAAGCGCTGATGGTCACAAGGCGCGAGTGCCTTGGTGAACACATCAGCAGTGTTGGCCTCAGAGGCCACGTACGCAAGTCGCAACTGACCACGCTACTGCAGCTCACGAGCAAGGAAGTAGCGGAGAGCAATGTGCTTCGTTCTGTGCTCCAAGCGCTGCTCTCGACAGAAGGCCAGCATGGCCTTGTTGTCTACGTACAGCACTGGAGGAGAACGAGGCGGCTCTCCAAGGTCAGTCAGCAGGTAGGTGAGCCAGCGAAGCTCCTGTGCAGCCATGGCCCCGGCGTAGATCTCAGCCTCACAACTGGAGCCGAGAACCGAAGACGAGCGAGTAGACCGCCACGAGACAGAGCCGGAACCAAGGCTGAAGGTGTAACCCTGTGACGACCGCTGCGTAGCCTGGTCGTCAGCCCAAGAAGCGTCCGCGTGGCCGGTAAGGACCACTGGACTCCGCCCTCCAAGCACTAGCCCCATGCCCGACGTGCTGCACAGGTAGCGCAATACCCTCTTCGCTGCAGCCATGTGCTCCGGTCTGTGTCTCCCAGGAGCAACATAGCGAGCAAGAATGCTCAGAGGGTATGCAAGGTCAGGTCGTGTGCAGGTCATCAGGTACATGAGGCAGCCAACAAGCTCTGCATACGGACCACTCGACTCTACGGACTCATCCGAAGGCAGAGCTGAGAGTGAGTGGCGAGTAGGTAGAGGAGTGGCCTGAGGCGAGGAGTACGTGAAGCCGAAGCGCTGAAGGACCTGCTGCACCATGTGTGACTGAGTCAAGGTAATGGTGCGGCGTGCTCTGTCCCGAGTGATCTGCAAGCCAAGGTAGCTGCGCAGTTCACCCAGGTCTGTGCACGTGTGTCTCTTCAGCAGCTCGGACTTTACGTAGGCGAGTCCAGCAGTGTCTGCTGTGGCAAAGACCAAGTCGTCGACGTACACGAGGATGTAGAGCGGCGGCAGGGAAGTGTCAGTGCGAAGAAACAGCGACGGGTCAGCAGTAGAAGGAGCAAACCCAAGGGCCGCAAGCGTAGTCCTCAGTGTGTCGTGCCACTCACGCGGTGCCTGGCGGAGACCGTAGACTGGCCGTCGGAGGCTCCACTGGGTGCCAGGAGGGAAAGTCCTAGTGAAGCCAGGTGGACGGCGAAGCCAGATCTCCTCGTGCAGGCTACCCTGCAAGAACGCAGTGCTGAAGTCGAGAGAGTGAAGCTCGTAGTCGCGCTGAGCGGCTATGTGCAGCAGCACCCGAAGAGTAGTCATCTTCGGGGTGGGAGAGAAGGTCTGAAAGTAGTCAACTCCCTGCCGCTGACTGAAGCCACGAGCAACGTACCGTGCCTTGAAGACAGGTGGAGAGCCCGGCGGCCGCTTCACCCTGAAGATCCACATGCCACTGACGATGTTCGCCCTAGGAGGGGGAACCGCGTCAACGTAGGTGCCTGTGGACTTCCAGGAAGCCATCTCTGCATCCATAGCTGCCTGCCACTGAGAGGAGTAGGGACCCTCTACGGCCTCCGCGTAAGAACGCGGAGTTGGGATGTCTAGTGCATCCGGGTCTCCCTCAGGGGCAAGCAGTACAGACGCGAGATGAGGTGAAGCAGCCGCTAGACACTGTAACTCCTCCTGCCTGTCCTCTAGGACGTTCGTGCCAAGAGCACACTCACCCCCGACGGACGGAGGACAGACAGACGCAGACTCAGCAACAAGACTAGCAGCGTAGTCGAGACGACAGCGAGCAGCAAAGTCGACGAGCTCAGCGACTAGAGCAGACGCAGCAGTGGACTCAAAAGAGGGGTCAGTGACGACAGTAGCAAGCAGACGCGTGACAGTAGGACTGGCAGCACGAAGAGAGTCCGACTCAGGGTCGGCAAGCACAGGAAGAGAGGAATCTGGAGGAGAAGGCAAAGGGGCACGCAAACTGCGACCACGCAAAGGAGCAGTGGACGGACGCAAAGACATCCGGTGCGTGCCAGGGACAGGAGGAGGACGCTGACGCGAAGTGCGACCACTAGCGCGAGCAGCGCGAACAGGCGACGCGGGACAAGACGCAAGCTCACGACGCTCAGCAAGACCTCCAGTAGGACCAGTGTAAGGAGAGGGAGCAGGCAGTGGAGAGGAAGGCTCCAGCAGGGACTGCGACTGGACAGGCGGTGGACCCTCTACTGGAGGAGAAAGACCAAGAACCTGCTGCAGGAGCGGAACGAAGTACGGTCGAGGCCGCGCGGCAGCTCCTGACTCAGCAGGGACAGCACCAGCACCCTCAACGACAGCACCAGCGCCACCCACACCTCCAGCGGCAGGACCAACAGCAGTACACTCAGCACCAACGCCCTCAGCAGCTCCAGCTCCAGGAGGACCCGCAGGTCCAGCAGCTCCGGGACCGGCAGCACCCGCACCCTCGACGGTCGAAGAAGCTCCAGCTCCAGCTCCAACAGCACCTCCAGACTAAGCAGCACGCCTCCAGCGGCGAACGAACCACTCGCGCAGCTCTTGTGGAGAGAGGGGCTCCCGGCGAGACGCAGCAGCAGGAGAAACCCCAGGCTCAGCAGCTCCAGACGCAGCACCCCCAGGCTCAACAGCTCCCAGCTCAGCACCCCTTGACCCAGCACCTCCAGGCACAGCACCCCCCGGCTCAGCACCCCCAGGCTCCGCACCCTCCGCAGTAGCACCCTCAGGCCCAGTACCCCCAGCAAAAGCACCCCCAGGCTCAGCACCCCCGCGCACAGCACCCCCAGAGTCAGCACCCCCAGGCTCAGCACCTGCAGCAGCACCAGAGTCACCAGTAACCTCGACCGGGTCAACGGCGTCTACCTGGGACACACCTGAGGGGGCAGGAACCTGAGGGGGGAGGGGGTCTACCGAGGGGGGAACCGGCACAAGGAAGTCCGGGGGAGGGGGGAGGGAAGGAGTGCGGTAGGGGAAGAGACGGTAGAAGGGGACTGACTCGTCGAACGTGACGTCCTGGGAGGACAGAACACGACGAGAGGAGGGGTGGTAAAACTGCCACCCTGGGGCGTCAGTGGGGAAGCCAAGGAAGACACAGGGAGCAGCACGAGGGGACAGCTTGTCCGCAGACAAGTCGCGGACAAACGCCCGAGATCCCCAGACACGGAACACAGACGCATCGCCAACCTTCCCCGTCCACAGCAAGGCTGGGGACATCGCAGGCCGAGAGACCCGGGGGTGAAGGTTGAGCTGATGCGCCGCGTACCTCACCGCAAACGGCCACAGAAAATGGGGGGCAGCCGCATGCATCATGGACGTACGAGCGACATCCATGACCATGCCAATGCGGCAGCTCAGCAATCCCATTTTGCTGCGGTGAGTCCCGAAGCGTGAAGGTCTGGCGAATCCCCCGTGCACGGCAGTAGTCTCGCAGAAGGCGAGAAGAGAACTCTCCGCCTCTGTCAGAGTGCAGACGCAGAACAGGAAAGTCCGAGCCGAAGCTCTTCCTGAGCTGGAGACGAGCCTCGCGGATCCAGTCGATCAGCACCTCAGTGACCGCACCCTTGCTGCGCAAGGGGAGGACTGTGGTGTAACGCGAGTAGTCGTCAACCACCAACAGGAAGTACCGCTCGTGACCCTGCCCACGGACGGGGGCTGGGCCCCACACATCCATGTGAAGCGTCTGCAGGGGAGCCTCTGTCGGGGGGAAGTGGGAGGAGTGAGGAGTAGCCCGGAGGCGACCCTCGACACAGGGGACACAGGAAGGTCCTGGCTCGGAGGGGAGAGGAGGGAGAGACTGGGGAAGACCAGAGACAAGGACACGGGAAGCCATGCTCCGAAGACGGGGCAAGGAGGGGTGGCCAAGACGGTGGTGCCACAGAAGAGTCTCGTGAGACAGGAGGCGACAAGAACAGGGGGCAGACTCAGGACCTGACCGGGACGCAGCAGCAAGCACCTGACCTGACGCAGCCACCTAACCAGACGCAGGGACAGGAGGAGACTCAACTGTCAGGGTGTAGAGACTCGACCCAGGCCGACGCGAGAACGTGGCCAGGTGGCGGCCTGTGCGTGCCTCCGTGCAGTGGGTCACCCGCTGACTCGCAGGAGTGAACTGGTGAACCCCCACATCCTGCAGGTCCGCTCCACTCACCAAGTTCGTAGAGAACGAGGGAAGGTACAGACCAGACAGGGTGCCCGAAGGGGCAGCCGGACACGGGAGGACAGTGGAGAAGTGAGACAGCACAGGACCCCCAGAGGGGTCAGCAAGGGAGACCGCAACCGGCCGGCCGAGCGGCGTAAGGGTAGTGCGGTCCCGAAAGAAGGAGCGAGAAGCCCCGGAGTCAAGTGTGAAAGTGAGGGAGGACGAGGACGACGCAGTACCTGAGAGCACAGTCTCACCAGTACCTGAGAGCACAGACGCACTGGCACCTAGAGCAGCAGCCTCACAAGCACCTAGCGCAGCAGCACCAATGCCCGGGTCGGGCTGGAAACACCGGTAACCCTCATTCTCCTCACTATAATCCACAGCATACATAGCAGCAAGGATAGCATCAAAATCAAGATCAAAGATCGCTACACCAGCCCTAAGAAGCTCATCCCAGCGAGGGATCTCACTAGCCCCAGGGAACTGCCAACGCCAAGCGTCCGTCAGGCGGCCAAAGCAGCGCTGGGTGGCGTGGGCACCCCCACACTGCTCACCCGCGCGGTCGCCGGAACGAAGAACGTAGGTGCAGGGACCAGTACCCCCACCCCTCTGACGCCCAGCGTACCACTCACGAAGCTGCTGAGGCGGAGGGATGTCCTGCGAGCGCTGCTGCTGCTGCCGCTGCGAGCGCTGGCCACCACCACCGCCGCTACGCTGCTGGGTACCACCCCGACCAGCTCCACCCCCTCCACCACCACCGCCTCCTCCGCTGCCGCCTCCACCGCCTCCACCTCCGCCGCCTCCACCTCCGCCGCTGCCACCACCACCACTGCTGGCACCACCACCACCGTCTCCGCCGCTGCTGCCACCACCACCACCACCACCCCCGCCACTAGTCCCGCCACCACCCCCACTCCCTCCGCCGCCACCGCCGCCACCGCCACCGCCCCCTCCAGCTCCACCCGCGCCCTTGCCCCCCTTGCCCTTGCTAGAGCAACGTCTCCCACTAGGGGTAGACGCCGCGCCGACCGACTCCAGACCAAGCAGGTCAGCGGCAGGAGCAGAGGCAACAGAGGGCAGCAAGGGGGAAGGAGAGCACCCCTCAAAGATGAGGGTGCGAGGGTCACCACGAGAAGCACCTACAGCGACTATGCTCTTCTCCGCTGCGAGGAGGGCCTTCTCGAGGAGGTCGACGGTGAGGGTGGTGGGACAGACAGCGAGAAAGTGGTCCCTGACGACGCGAAGGGAGTCAGGGAGGCGCGCGACTACGTAGTAGAGAGCGATGTACATGGGGGGGGGGTTCTTAGCGCAGAACTCAGCAGGAAGAGCGGCGCGGTAGCGAGTGTCACTAGTGCGGAGGTGCGTAATGAGGTCAGCAACAGTGGGAAAGGCAGAGAGGTCAGGAAAGAGGTAGGGAAGCATGAGACGGCTCAGTGCAGCAGTGGCAGGGGAGGAGTAGCGTGCAACTACAGCGTCGTACAAGGTTTGAGCACTCTTGTACTGGCTAAAGTGCGCACGCTCAGAGGTAGGGAGGTGGCGACGCACAGCAAGACGTGCAGCAGCATCGCGGGTGGCCCACTGAGAGCGGACAGAGGGATCAGTATCAGCAGCAGGAGCAGGAGAGGCGCCCGAGGTGAGGTCAAAGAGAGAAAGGTCGTCAGCCCTGTCGCACTGTAAGAACAGCTGCAGGTCGTCTAACCAGACCTCAAAATCAATGGCGCGACCCTCAGCGTCGAAAGCTAGGACACTAGGGGTAGCCATGGCGACGACAGCGACGCAGTGCAAGCAGTAGGGAAAGAGCTCGCAGTGTCAGTGGGACTGTGCTCACCAGGCAGGGCAGGTCGTGCAGCTCTGCAGAAAGGCGGCTCAGCGACCAGGCAGCTCGGGTGCACAGCGGCTCGGCTCCCGGGCGGCTCGGTGGCTGGGCGGCTGGGGCGCAGGGCGGCTTGGCTCCCGGACGGCTCGGCGGCTGGGCGGCTCGAGTGCAGGGCGGCTCGGCTCCCGGGCGGCTCGGCGGCAGGGCGGCTCGGGTCCCGGGAGGCTCAGGCGTTGGGCGGCTCGGCTCCCGGGCGGTTCGGCTGCTGGGGCGGCTCGGCCGGGAGATGCAGGGGCGGGGCCGTCAGGTGCAGCGGCGGGTCGACCGGTGCAGTGGCGGGCCGGCAGGTGCAGCGGCGGGCCGGCAGGTGCAGCGGCGGGCCGGCAGGTGCAGCGGCGGGCCGGCAGGTGCAGGCGGCGGGCCGTAGGGTGCAGCGGCGGGCCGTAGGGTGCAGCGGCGGGCCGGCAGGTGCAGCGGCGGGGCCGTCAGGTGAAGCGGCGGGCCGCTGGGTGCAGCGGCGGGCCGGCAGGTGAAGCGGCGGGCTGGCAGGAGCAGCGGCGGGCCGGCAGGAGCAGCGGCGGGGCCGTCAGGTGAGGCGGCGGGCCGGCAGGAGCAGCGGCGGGCCGTAGGGTGCAGCGGCGGGGCCGTCAGAGGCGGCGGGCCGCTGGGTGCAGCGGCGGGCCGGCAGGTGCAGCGGCGGGCCGGCAGGAGCAGCGGCGGGCCGGCAGGAGCAGCGGCGGGGCCGTCAGGTGAGGCGGCTGGCCGGCAGGAGCAGCGGCGGGCCGTAGGGTGCAGCGGCGGGGCCGTCAGAGGCGGCGGGCCGTAGGGTGCAGCGGCGGGCCGTAGGGTGCAGCGGCGGGGCCGTCAGAGGCGGCGGCGGGGCCGCGGCAGTGGAGGCGGGGCCGCGTCAGGGGAGGCGGCGGGGCCGCGTCAGGGGAGGCGGCGGGGCCGCGTCAGGGGAGGCGGCGGGGCCGCGTCAGGGGAGACGGCGGGGCCGCGTCAAGCAGGCGGCGGGGCCGCGATCAGGAGAGGTGGCGGGGCCGCGTCTGAGGG